CCACAACGCCCGGCTATTTTTTGGTTGCAGCCGTCATTGTTGTTTGGCAGGTCCGGGCTGGGGATTCAAACCCGCCACCTTAGGTGTACGTGGCTGGTGCCTTAGCCGGTTGAGCTATAGGCGCCGAGAACCTTGGTTCTTAATAATTTATTTGCTTTTCTTATAAAGTAAATTCAACATTATTATATCAGTACAATACAACAATCTATTGATAGATTTTAATTTTCTTTGTAATATCTCACTAAGTGGTATAATCAGAGGATCATGCTTAAAAGTTATTTGAATTAACTTCTGTGAAGTTATCAACTTGATACACATTTGAGTTAATTTGCTCCTGATAATTTTATGCGTGTGTGTTTTTTTGAGACAGGGTCTTAACTCTGTCACTCAGGTTAGAGTACAGTGGTATCATCATAGCTCGTGGCACCCTCAAACTCTTGGACTCAAGTGAGCTTCCCACCTCAACCTCCTGAGTAGCTGGAACTACAGTTACATGCTTTAAAACAAAACAAAAAAATTTTTAAGGGACAGGGTCACACTGTGTTGCCCAGGGCAGAGTACAGTGATGCAATCATAGCTCAATGCAGTCTTGAATTCGTAGGCTTCAGGAGATCCTTTTGCCTCAGCATCTTTTAAGTACGTGGGACTACAGCACACTACCATGTCTATATAATTTTTTTTTTTTTTTTTTTGAGACAGAGTCTCACTTTGCCACCTTTGGTAGAGTGCTGTGGTGTCATAGCTCACAGCAACCTGAAACTCCTGGGCTTAAGCAATTCTCTTGCCTCAGCCTCCTGAGTAGCCAGGCGCCCCCCACAATGCCCGGTTATTTTTAGACAGCAGGTCTTGAACCTGTGAGGAAGGCAATCCACCCACCTTGGCCTCCTAAGCACTGAGATTACAGGCATGAGCCACTGCGCTCAGCCCTATTTTTAAATTTTATTTATTTATTTATTTATTTAATTTTTGAGACAGAGCCTCAAGCTGTCCCCCTGGGTAGAGTGCTATGGCATCACAGCTCACAGCAACCTCCAACTCCTCTTTCTTTTTTTTTTATTTTTTTTTTTATAGAGACAGAGTCTCTCTCTGTCATCCTGGATAGAGTGCTGTGGCATCAACCCAGTTTACAGCAAC